GTCCCCCCACCCCCCGCGCCCGAAGCCCTCGCCACTGCCAACACCTCACCTCGCCCCCGCCGCCATCTTCCTCCTCCCTCGGCGGCCCCGCCCCCGCTGGTACATGGACGATTCTGATTGGCTGCTCAACGGCTCTGACGCGGCCTCGGGGTCGAGGATGTGGCCGAGCCCCGCGCGGCTCAGGGAGGTCTTGCGCCTGCGAACTAGGAGGGCGGGAGACCTCGTGCGCCCCCTGGGGGAGAGGAGGGCGAGCAACAGCCGGCGCAGCTAAGGCACACGTGTCAGTACAGCACTGGGACCCCACAGCCTGGGCGTCGTATGCTGACTGTCCGTCTCCTCCCTTGAACCTGACTGGTGTCCAAAAGAGTAAAAGTGACTAAGTGGGTTGGAAATTACAAATGCCAGAGAACACCAGGATAGAAAGCAGCCTTCAGGATCTCCAAGAGGAAAGTGTCCCCAGAGCTGGAGTGTGCCCCCCTCCCCCACCCCAGGAGGTCCTGCTGTGGTCCAGCCTCCCATCAGATGCTAACTCTTCACCGAGTGGAAATGAAGATCTCCAGTGATGCTCCTGAGACACACCTCCTTGAAGAGGAATCCTTACTGGGTGTCCATAGCTTAGTTTGTAGGAGAGGTTGGGCCGCAAGTGATTATTGACTAGCCCATCCTCCGCCGCCCAGTTATGTTTGCAGGAACAGGAAAATGGATATGATCCCTGGTCTCGGTCACTAGCTCTGTTTTTAAGGTCAACCCCCAGCGGCCCTGAACCTGCCCTTTTACACACCTGTCGGGTCTTCAGAGTGCCTCTAGGCCAGCTCTGAACTTCCCAACAGCAGTGCTGTACTATTTTGCCCCTCTTGCTCAAGCTCTTCCCTTCTTAATGCCTGTTTCCCAATGAAGGATTGCCCAAGTCCCAACACATTGCTCAAGGATTATCCCACCTTCATAAATCTCTCTCTCCCTCCCTCTGTCTCTCCCTCCCTCTCTCCCTCTCTCTCCCTCTCCCTTTCTCTCTCTCTCTCCCCCTCCCTCCCTCCCCCCCCCCCATCTCTCCTGTCTCACTGGACTCTCAAGACTAACTGCAGCCAAGATTCAGTGGGCTGAAACGGTAATCAATGCACAATAGATCTACTTTACCTCTAGTGGTTGTTTCCAAAATCTGGCTGCTGTTCTGCATGTAGAAGAAGGAAGGAAGTTCTTTGTCTGTTGCCCTGAGCAATAATCCTGGAATGACCGAAACTGCACAGCTGCCGTCACACTGTACACGAAGCCATCTTCTTGTAAAGGTTTTTCTTATTTTGTCATTTCAAAGAGGAACAAATGTACCATTCTTAGTAAATTTGGGTTCCAATAAAAAGTTTGGCTTTCCTAAACATATTTAACCTTCTGCCCCAGCCCAAATTTGAACCACGGACTGAAAAATGTAGTTATGACGCTTCAGAAAGATATTAAGTTCCTAATATTATGGAGATAGTGTTATTCACTTTTCGGTTAGAAAATGCTTTACATGGGCTGGGAAGGTGGCTCTGTGGTAGAGCGCTTGCCTTGCATGCTCGAGGCCCTGGGTTCGATTCCTCAGCACCACATAAGCAAAAAGAAAAAAAGCCAGACGTGGTGCTGTGGCTCAAGTGGTAGAATGCTAGCCTTGAGCTGAAGAGCTGAGGGACAGCACCCAGGCCCAGAGTTCAGGCCCCACGACCGGACCCCCCCCCAAAAAAGAAAATGCTTTATATTACTTAATTCTCATCACCAACTATGAACTAGGTAGGGTAGGTAGAACCACCTAGATTGTATGGAAAAGAACACAATTGACAGACTACTAACAACAATGAATAAGGATTTGGGTCCTCACAGCTCTAATTTAGTGTAATTATCTTCTTACTCTCTTCCCAGTTTCCTCATCTGTAAACTGCGGTTGGCGAGGTTGGAGCAAGGCTGAATCAAACTTCACTCCATAGTTGTAAGAGCTAAGGTGATTATACATACAAACTCTCTAGTATATTGTCCAGTCTATAGTGACCACTATACAACAGTCAGTATCTCAATCTACTGCAAGAAGGAATGAGAAACCATTTCTATATGCTTTTTTATTTAGAGAAAATAGCATATTGTAAATGTTAATTGTATACAATTGCAATCTTGTGTTGAAATCGTACTAGTAGCACTTTGCCAGGAAGGATGGTTAATGCTTGTAATCCTAGCTGCTTAGGAGACTGAGCTCTGAAAACTGGAGTCTGGAGCCAGCCTAGGTAGACAAATCTACAAGACTCTTACCTCAAACAATTAGCAAAAAGCCACAAGTAGAAGCATAGCTCAAGTGGTAGAGCATTGGAAGGGAGAGCATGAATTCTGACAGGAAAAAAAATGTTAATATTAAGAAAGAAAAGTTGATTCAAATAACATACTCTTGTTTCTTTTTGGGGGAGGGCCTCCAGTCATGGGGCCTGAACTCTGGGCCTGGGCGCTGTCCCTCAGCTCTTCAGCTCAAGGCTAGTGCTCTACCCCTTGAGCCACAGCACCACTTCCGGCTTTTTTTTAATGTGGTGCTGAGGAATCGAACCCAGGGCCTTGGCATGCAAGGCAAGCGCTCTACCACTGAGCCACCTTCCCAGCCCCACATACTCTTGTTTCTGTTGGGTCACATTCTAATAATAGAGCCAAGTACAGCATTTAAAAATGAATATTATTTAATATGCAGTTATGTCGCTGGGCACCGGTGGCTCATGCCTATCATCCTAGCTACTCAGGAGGCTGAGCTCTGATGATCACAGTTCAAAGCCATCTCTGGAAAGGAAAGTCTGTGAGATTCTTATCTCCAATAAACCACCAGAAAGCCGGAAGTGGTGCTGTGGCTCAAGTGGTAGAAGGCTAGCCTTGAGCTGAAGAGCTGAGAGACAGAGTTCAAGCTCCATGACTGACTAAAAGAAAATAAAATACAGTATGTCAAGTGTATAAATTTAAAAAGTGAGACTGAGCTTTTAATTTTTATAATGTCCTTGATAATGAAAGCTTAAAACTTTCAAACTAAGAAGATATCATATCAAGCCAGCATACCAATTTGTCAATAAACTTCTTGAAAATTAGAAATAATTTTCTTTATCTCTGATTTTTCTAAAGTTGGAATATGAAATGCTTTGGTACAGTTATTAGGGAATGTTTATCCTTCCTGGTGCTTCCTAGATTTGGCTTCCAACATTAACTTGGGGAGAAATGATTGCTTGTTATTGCTTCAAGTATAGCTCTTATTCTTTCTTCTCTTTTTTTCTTCTCCATCAGGCATATGTTACACTGTTTTAGCAATTTTACAATATCTGCTAAGGGAGAAATAGTCTAATGATATATACTCATGCTCAGTTCTTTCTCAGCTGTGTCCAGTTTACTAATGAGCCCATTAAAGGCATTCCTCATTTCTTTTATGCTGCTTTTATTTCAAACATCTCTTTTGTATTATGATTTTTATCTGTGTACATTTCTAATTTATTCTTCCATGCTACCTACTTTATGTATTAGACTTATAGTTACATATAGTTTACATATAGTTACTTATAGTTTACATATAGTTACTTATAGCCTCATAGTTACTTTACATCACTGGTCTCATCATCTCAACCTGACTACCAATATCCAGATATGTTTGTGATTCTCTCTGTCTCTTTCAAACTGTAATAAAGAGACACATTGTCCTGGGTAAGAGGATTTGCCATAAATGGACCAGTAGTAGCTTGGTAAGAAGGTAAGTAGAGGAGGAAAGCATTCTGCAGTCCCATGATTAGTGTCAATCTTTCGGTGTCCTAAATTAGGTGGGACAGGATAACTAGATTGGGATGGAACTTTCTTTCTAAGTTGTTTAGCTTCTGATAAAACTTCACTAAGTTAGGATCTGGATAAACAGCTTTTGAGGGGGACAAACCTTGCTAAGAAGAATAGAGTTTTCTGGTGGTTATTAAAATTGTGCCTTTCCTCCTTTTATGAGAAGCAGGCAAGGACTTTTCTCCACTCACTTGAGAACTTGATGAAGCTCTTAAAGATACATCTCACAAAAATATGGAAGCCCCATGAGTAGGCCTCCCTGGTATTTGTAACCATCAGCCTTGTCTCCTGTGAGCCTCCCGTATCCACCAAGTATAGCTGAGATTTTCCTACATCGGCGCTGATTCCCATGAAGGTTTCTTCTTCTGAGTTTGTAATCTGGCAAGTTGTGACTTTCAGTATTCATGTGCTGGTTCCTTCAGTTTGGGAGCAAGGCAGTGGTCTGTGCTGGGACCTCACTTCTCTGACCAATCTAAGAACAATCGGTGATTTTTCAATTTGATTTGCCTTTTTATTTTTGTAAATAGGATGTGATGGTTTCAAATCTCCTATGTGCCAGCCCAGAGACTGGAAGTCTAAGAACCATTTCTGTGAGTGAAATTTTATTGGAGGCTGGGAAGGTGGCTCAGTGGTACAGTGCTTGCCTTGCATGCATGAGGCCCTGGGTTCGATTCCTTAGCACCACATAAGCAGAAGAAGCCAGAAGTGGTGCTATGACTCAAGTGGTACAGTGCTAGCCTTGAGCTGAAGAGCTGAGGTACAGTGCCCAGGCCCAGAGTTGAGGCCCATGACTGGCAAATAATAATAATAATAATAGGAACACACCCATATCTATTTGTTTACACTTTACAGCAAAGTTTTGTAGCTTCAACAGAGAACTCAACTCACAAACTCTAAAATATATATTATTTGGTTAATGATGAAAAAAGTTTCCAATACCCAATTTACAGTATGAAATCTCCTAACCACAAGGCACTTTATTCTTTGTTGGTAAAAGCTGAAGTGCTCGTGTAAAACTAATATTCCTAGAATTCTCATCTTGTGGATTGGATTGACAAAACTGCAATGATGGGAGTCCTAACCACTAGGATTGGCTCAGGGTAATCCCAGTTAGTTTTTCCTGTATGTTCTCTGGACAAACTGTAAACAGCTATCACCATTACAGTGGTATGGTATGTAGAGTTATACAGCCAGGCCCTGGTTCTAGGAATGTGCCTAACTCTATATTAGCTTAAGATAAACTAGCTGCATTTACTCTAAGATGAAGTAACTTTTGTACTAACTAATATGTGTGCCTTCCATTGGACCCAGATTCTAGGATCCACTTGGTTCTTTCATCTATCAGTAAATCCCCTCATTAATCCCTGATCTGTATGTTTTCTTCAGTGTCACCATCCTAGGGGCTGTCATACACTGGGATTGAGTTGTTCCAGAATACCCAGAAAGTAAGAAACTAGCTAGACTACATGCCAGCTTCATTTGTTGTTTGCCTTCTAAGACAAGATCTCCTTGTAACCCAAGCTGGCCTCCAATTTGTGATCTTCTACCTCAGTTTTCTGCATGCTAAAAATACAGGTGTGCACCACCAAACTTGACTCTGCTACATATTTTTTTAAAATTTTTAATTGTTTTGAAACTCATATTTAATGTAATCTTGCCTTTTCTTTTAAAAATATCTTTAAGGGGCTGGGAAGGTGGCTCAGTGGTACAGTGCTTGCCTTGCATGCATGAGGCCCTGGGTTTGATTCTTCAGCACCACATAAGCAGTAAAAGCCAGAAGTGGCGCTGTGGCTCAAATGGTAAAATGCTAGCTTTGAGCTGAAGAGCTGAGGGACAGTGCCCAGGCCCACAGTTCAGGCCCCATGACCGACCAAAAATTGAAACCAAAGGGGTTTCAATTCAACATGTCACTCCTCCCATCATTCTCTCTGACCTGTCCAGCACTACCCATGCCCTCATTCCACGTTCCATTTTGGCATAAGCACATTGAATATTATGAGTGAATTTGCCCAACATTACTCTCTCTGTCAGTCTCTTCTTCACCTGAAGCTCAACTCTCAGACACAACATGTTTCAGGTTCCTGGTCTTTATTTTGTTAAATTGCAAGTTAATTTTTCAAAAGAGTTACACCATTTGACTCTACTCCTGCATATACTATACGTTAATTTGTGTGTGTGTGTGTGCGCGCGCACGTGTGTGTTTGTGCATGTAGGTATATGTACTACCTTACTAAGAAAAAGATTATTTTCATTCAGAAACTTCTAGGTTAGAAGCATTTTACAATAAGGATACAAAAATCACAAAATCCATTCTTTGGGTTTGTCTTTACATTAAAGGACTTAATAGAAACTTCCTGAGGTTTTTGAGTTGATCAGATAAATTTACACTCACATAATGCTTAAAATTATGAAAAATGTAAAGTTATATTTTGAACAATTAACTCATAAATGCTGACAAATTTGTATGGCTGAGCGTGCACACGCACACAGGTGCATGCTAGTCCTGGGGCTCAAACTCAGGGCATAGGCACTGTGCCTGAGCTTTTTTGTTCAAGGGTAGGTCTTTACAACTTGAGCCCCAGCTCCATTTTTGGCTTTTTGGTAATTAATTGGAGATAAGACTCTTGTGAACTTTTTCTATACAGACTGGTTTTGAACTATGATCCTCAGATCTCAGCCTCTTGAGTAGCTAATATTAAAGGCATGAGTCACTGGCACCCGGCTCTATCAAACTGTCTATGTTAATGTACTCATCATGACCTATAATGTCATCTTTAATAAAATTTCCAAGATCCTTAAGACCTAAAAATAATATTAAATCACCCTAATTAATTGAGTCATTAGTTATATAGATCACTTATAAGTAACATATAATACATTAAATGTTATTTACCTCTACACACAACATATACTAGTGTATATATAAATATATGTATATATGTGTATATGTATACATAGTGTGTGATTGATATGTGAGTTAACTATCAAAATGCAAAGACATCATAAACCTAACCAAAAAAAAGAAGATGGCTGTGCCCAGCTGATTGTTTTTATATGTCTGCTTTATAGCCCTGATTTGATGGCTTCGGATAAAATACTTGTAATATGTTTCAAGAACAAGAGATAATATCTCTAAAGTAAACTCTACAAATTTATTTTTAGAAAAAATAGTACATTTAATTTTCTTAAATGCAAAAAATGAGTTAGTAATTAAAGTAATATGATGGTTAATAGATACATATAAACCTATTTAACCTTTCTATTTCAGGAAAGAGAAAATGAATTCAATGAGATAACGTTTTCTTATGCATTGAATTAATGAAACTATATAAATGATGCTGACCACATGGAAACAAGGACCTACAGACACTGTTAATGACATTTCTAGGTGAATGATTTTCATAAGCGACTTTTTATATGGCACTTGGGCATCTGCTACCTCTTCAAATAATTTTCAGTGGCACCTATGTTTATTAAAAAGAAAGTAAAGCCAGTCAGTAATGGCTCACATCTGTAATCCTAGCTACTCAGGAGGTTGAGATCTGGGGGTCACAGTTCAAAGCCAGCCAGAGCAGGAAAGGCTGTTACTTACTCTTATCTCCAATTAATAGGAATGGAGTTCCAGAAGTGGAGCTGTGGCTCAAGTTTTAGAGCTCTAGCTCTGAACACAAAAACTGAAGGACAGTGCCCAGGCCCTAAGCTCAAGCCCCAGAACCACACTACCCCCCACTACACACACACACAAAGTAAGGACTGGGAGTTTAGCTAAGTGGTGAAGTGCTTGCCTAGCATGTCTCTTTGGGGTCAATCTCCAGCACTGCAAAAACAAACAAAAAAAGTGGCTAAGAAGTTCTAAATAAGAAAAGAGTATCTGGACTTAATCTACACTAATCTAACACTGATCTAGTCTAAGGTCAGGAAAGTTGAGGTGAGGGGATGGGGTTGGAGGAAGAAAATGACTGGAACCAAATGACTACAAAGTATTTTCCTGAATTCAAGACAGATGCAGTTAAGATCACCTCTGACTCTAAAGGCAATTTGTCAGTGACAGTTTCGAAAGCTGAATAGTGGCTATTTAATGAAATCCTCTGTATTGGACTCCTAAGAACAGTATTTCGTGGGAAACTGAGTATATTAAAAGCATATCTTGCCTTAGAAAAAAAGAGAGAAATCGATTAGACCAGCACTTCCCTGTCAAAAACAGATACCACCTGGAATAAAGGATCATTGCTAGGATTCCAAGAGAGTGAAAGATGCATGAATGAAACTCTTCAGCTCAAGGTGAGCACTCTACCGCTTGAGCCACAGCACCACTTCCGCTTTTCTAGTGGTTTATTGGAGATAAGAGTCTCACGGACTTTCCTCGCCCGGGCTGTCTTTGAACTGTGATCCTCAGATCTCAGCTTCCTGAGTAGCTAGGATTACAGGCGTGAGCCACCAGCGCCCAGCTAAGAAAGCAATTTTTTTTAAGAAAGAAATTTTAAATATTCACCACACTATGATTGGATGTAATGGAAAACAATATTGAGTTTTGGGGTGACTTATAAAGGGATCAATTATTTCTTCCTGTGCCTCTATAATTAAACAAATTTATCTAAGAGCAAATTATCTAATTAACTCAACGATGCGGGATAAAATGAAGGCACAAAACATTGCAAAACATAGAGGTTATACCTCTATGTTAAAGACTTGAAAGAATTGAAAATTGTTAATGTCTCACTCTCCAAAACATGCTCACCAAGGTTAATTTTATAGTGAAGAAGCCAGAATGCTGGACTACAGCCTCAAAACTAGAATGTCATTTAATGAGGGACACAGAAAACAGCAACAAAACATGCAGGAGGGGCACCTTGATCTTGGACTTGTCTCCTCCAGACCTGGGAGATAATGAATACCTGTTGTTCTAGCCATTCAGTCTACGATATTTTGCTATACTGTTCTAATCGGAGGAATACAGATGCTATACTGAACATACTATTATTATGCATTTTGTGAGTAGATGTATTCAGTGTGCCAAACATAGCTGTGAATTCTACAGTGGAATCAAGTTAAAAAGGAAACAGGTAGAAGGTATTGGGATGATAGATAGCTTCAGGGTGGAGCAGCACTTAGCAAACACTGAGGTTGCTTTGTCTCATCTATAGTACCCAAAGCAAAGACAAACAAAAACCCAGAGTAAAATCAAGTTGTAGTTCCATGTCTTCTAGTACATATAAGCCAAATACCGTGTCGCCTCTCTTATTTACAGTACTCTCTATGTGTTAAATACTTGATTCTTTCTCAAGGTCCTGAAAAGCTTAGGAATTCTCATTCTAAACATCTAGGTCATATCAGTGGGTACAGACTATTAGAATTATCTATCCGTACTGTTTTTTGGAGAAAACTATAGGTCTACCACATTACAAAAGAACTAAAGCATGCCTGAACAAGGAAAGTCATGTGAGAGTCTCCATTTCTGTGCTTTTCGGAGGCTATGTCAACATAGTAGGAAATTTCTCCCTAAGAAATGTCAGAAATGTCAATTTTATCATTTCAAAGGAAGGAAACATGGACATAAAACAAATAGTGTAAAGTTTTCATAAAAATTTTAAGGCAAAATATGATATTCTAGAAAGTGATGTCTTATTGTGGAATCTTTGCTCCTCTACATAATCTACTCCTTACTTTCTCTGCTATCAGGAATATCTTGACAGGACAAAAAAGTTTTATAAATAAATCTTATTAATGAGAATAGAAAGCAATATGGCTCAATCTTCACTTTATTTATTAGTAGATTATCTTTATAAGTTGATTGATAGAAAAGTGTTATCCTACACAGACAGGCAACTATCAAAAGAAAGGCATCATAGAGATTGCTGTTAAAGAAAATGAGCAAAACTAAATGCACAACTCATTTTAGGGAAGTTCTTATAGGGACATCTGTAGTAATAACATAACATTTCCTTTGGAATTTGGTAAAACTGTCGAACAAAATCTGCTAAGCCCTGCCTAGAGACAAACATGTGACTTGGATGGGTCAAGCAACAGAGTTTGGACGAAAATTCTGAAACCATCAGCCAAAATAAACCTTTTCTCTTTGTAAAGTTGTTTACATCAAGTGTTCTGACTCTATTAGCTACTCAAAAGCCTTCCAGAAAGTTCTTTTCATGCTTAAGTTCGCCCATCTGGTTTTCTTTTTAATTGCTTATAGCCTGCAAAAGTTAGCTTTTTTTTTTTTTGGTTGGTTGTGGGGCTTGAACTCTGAGCCTGGATGCTGTCCCTCAGCTCTTCAGCTCAAGGCTAGCACTCTCCCACTTGAACTATAGTGTCACTTCTGGTTTTCTGGTGGTTTTTATTGGAGATAAGAGTCTCATTGACTTTCCTGCCTGGGCTGGCTTTGAACACCATCCTCAGATCTCAGCCTCCTGAGTAGCTAGAATTACAGGCATGAGCCACCAGCACCCAGCAAAAGTTAGCACTTCTTACTTGATAAAATGTACTATTTGCCGATAGTTAGCCATACTGTGCTTTTCTTTGATATAATTCTTTCTCTATGTGTCATAATGAAACACAAATTACTCTTAAAAGTGGCAAACAACCTGAGTCGTTTTATTGTTCCTGCTTGCTTATCCTCACCTCAACATATCTCACTTAACCTTTCATTCTATAAAGAGAAGAAACAGAAACTACTTACAAAAAAAAAGTCTTACCTAAACTTACAGTATATTTCTACCTAAAACATTAAACATTAAAAAAAAAAGATGTTCTAGACTACCAACAATGCTCATCCTTAATCTATTTCATAATCATCATCATCTTCATCCATGCTGATTTTGAGGCTGGCAAAGTCTTCAGGCTTTGGCTTCTTTTTGGACTCTTTGCCTTTCTCGGCCTGGTGTAAGTGATGTTCACATTGCCTCATGATCTTCTTGGATGACATCCAGCTCTCCCCTTGGCGTTCGGCTGGGGCCGCACATTGTCCTCCCTTCACATCGGTGCCCTTGGCCTTCAGGACCTCCCTGGCTCTCAGCAGACTGCAGGTGCAGTTCCACGGATTTCCATCTAGGTACAGGTGCCGGAGGCGAGGCAGA